TTAGGCTACTGCCCCTGCGACCTGACCCCGGCCCAAAATGGATGGATGGATCAAGCTAAAGCAGAACCCCCACCCCTTCCACCACCGTGAACTAGTTTAGTTGAAATACTGAATGAGAACCATTGCTATTAACATTAACATAGGAAACACAAGAGCATAAAATTTTCCGCAATTTCCTTGTGAGAAATACCTTGAATTTCTTTGATTTTACTTGCCTCTTGAACTTAGTTGACAAGTCAATGGAAATTTGGCACTGCCACGCTGAAATAATGACCGTAGACCAGGGTTTTCCCAACACGTCGCTCGCGAGCTACCAGTAGTTCGCAACGCACTTTAAAGTCACTCGCCTGGAAGCAGCCAGCCATCCTGCCTGACTTGTGATCGACAAGAAGCGGATTTTTAATTTGTTGGAAAGCCGTCCTTGTTTTCTGTAATATCTAATCTAAAATGAGCATTTTGTGGAAGTAAAATAAAAATCTGATTATTGCACAAATCTTTCGGCAAACATGTTCTACTGGAAATAAGCGGATTAATTACTCAGGTTGCAGCCGCAGCTCTAATCCCCGTTTCTGATCTCAGCGGCTGCATGCAGGTGGATGAAGACGCACTTCTAAAGAAGACGGAGTGACGTCGGTTATGCAGGTTTCAGAAAAACATCCTCAGTAGAATATTCTGGGCAACAGTAAAGTCCTATCTGTGGCAACAATTCATTAACGCAAATAAAATATTGTTCATGATGAACACAGACATCTTTACAGTAGACATCTCCTGTGATTTAGTTTCAACAAATTTACCTCAACAGTTTCAGCCGATTGTCTCATTTAGTAATAAAACATGATTTTAAAATCTTTATCTCGGTCACTTTTTGTGTTGCGGAACCATCAGACCTGCGGATCAGCTGATCCAGAGGCAGAGAAAAAGGATAAACCTCCAAACTTATTTTAACATTGTTATAAAAAATGCAGCAAAGCATCATTTCACCCACAGTAATTGAACCAAAACTTAACTTCACGAGCAAAACCCCCCATAAAAATTATTCAATAAATCAGGAAAGCAGGAAGAAATGTTATTTTTGTTTTCACTTTTTTTTCCTTCAGTTCAGACTATTTAGAATTTTGTGTTTTCATCACATTTAGCTTGTATTTTATTTAAATTATCTTCAGCTCTATTCATTTTATGAAAAATTTTGTGTTTCATTGTCTGTAAAAATAATCATAACACAATATAATTACTTGAAATTGTTTGCATTAAATGCAAATTTAAAAGGCATTCTACAGTTTTTGTTCATTTTTTACAAAATAGCTGAACACTATGAAAAACTGGCATTGCTGCTTAGGCTCTGGGCGGGGCACGGGGTCAGGGACTGACCAGGACAGCTGTTCCTGTGCGTTACTGATCCATTCTAATACGAATTTAAATAATTCACACATAGAAGATTTATATTTCATTATCTAAAAGTATCCGAATACTTAATAAACAAAATGTTATGCTTAGTTTGATTTTCAGAATGTCACTATTTTCCTTGTACCTTTTTTTATAATTATTGATGCTTTGAAATACAAAGAAATCAACTAGTGAATACAATGCATGTTGACATATAGCGGGCTTTTTTTAAACATAGTAAGCATATTCACAAATGGATAGGATCAATGTGAATAAATCGTATGGCGGTAGCTCTTCTGTACTTTCATTGTGTAAAAGAAGCTCACGAGTCAAAAAAGGTTGGAGACCCCTGCTGTAAACTGTTAACTAAATGACTGAATAAAATGTTTATTAAAAACAATTGTCACAATCAGTTTAGCAAGCAATCTTATTTTATCTTGCCTTCAAATGTGGAGAATGCATAAAGAATTATAAAATACAATTGCCAGTCATAATATCAGAATATGATGACAAAGTTGATTTATTTTAGTAATTTAATTCAAAAAGTGAAACTTGTATATTATATTCATTCAGACAGATATATTTCAAATGTTAATTTATTTTAATGTTGATGAATATAACTGAACACTAATGAAAATCCCAAATTCAGTACCTCCAAAAATTTGAAAATCAATTAAGACCCATATAAAAAAAGGAATTTCAGAAATCTTGGCCAACTGAAAAGCATGAACATGTACAGCACTCAATATTTAGTTGGAGCTTCTTTGGCCTAGATTACTGCAGCAATGCAGCATAGCTAGTGGTGGTCGGCGGGACTAGTGATGCCTGTGATCGCAATGCCTTGCCTCTGTCAGTGTAACCCAGTGAAGCTAAAATTAAGCTCATCACAACCAGGTTATGAATGAGTGTGTAAATGGATGATTGATACACCGTAGTGTAAAGCGCTTTGGAGTCCACAGACTCAAAAAGACGTTAAACAAAATGAATGGGACCTGTAAATATTGTCAAGGACAAATTGAAAAGAGGAGGAAGGGAAAAAATAAACAGCGCTACAGAATGGTGAGAAAAATAGGCGACAATATTTGGACATATTGTAAATACAATGACAATTCAAGGCAGAGTGAGGAATGTGTAAATGGAAAATCTCATATCCAGCAGTTCAAAGTTGATAACATTTTCTTAGAGAATTTGTTTTTGTTATTAAAAATGTGTTTTTGTAGCATTCTGCTTCATGTAAAATAGAACTTATTTAAATAATAAACACTTGATGTAATGTATGTTTGTAGATTAGTAATTCAGTTTACACGCAGTTTGTATAATGGTGATAAATTAATTTAAGAAACAAAAAATGTGAGGAGCAGTTTGAGAGCCGAAAGAGCCGGAGTTCCCATCACTATGCCGTGTTTCCATTGCTGGAACTTTAGGGTAAAATCTGGGAGGGGAAAAGTGAGCAAGAGATTCGATTTCCCGGTCCTCTCAGCGATCTCCATTCAAATTCAGCCTTTTTGGGACTTTGCAAAGACGTCAGCAAATTGTGAGCATGAAGTTTCGGTAGTGGAAACACAGCTATTGTGGCACCAGGGGCGGAGTGCACCAGCTGGTTGTACGACCAGGTGTAACCTCAAGTCTGACGTAGATTTGAAAGTTACTGCTAGCTCATTATTAACTCATTAACTGCCATTGACGACAAAAGTCATTATTTGAAATCCAACCTTTCACTGCCATTTACATCATTTGCATTTTTTTCACTGTGTGGGCGTCGGAACAAGCCCCCGCACTGTGAGAACAAATATCCCAGCTCTAAGCCGATCTTCATCCACGTACGTCACACGTCACGTGATCAGAAAGCAGAAAATCCATGGGTGTTTCTCAAAGTCAAGGCCTTGCGAGGCGATATCTTGCGAGGCCAGGCGCCTTCCTTACAAGGACACTGTCCTTCCTTGGTCCAAGAAAACGGTTAAATGGAACAGACTTGCATCACGTGACAGCGGATTCCATGGCGGTCACGTAATGTCACGTGACACGGGAGATAACGTCATATTTTACCGGGTGACCGGGCTCAGCCTTAGAGATAGGGTAAGGAGCTCGGACATTCGGGAGGGACTCGGAGTAGAACCGCTGCTCCTCCGGATCGAAAGGAGTCAGTTGAGGTGGTTTGGGCATCTGGTCAGGATGCCTCCTGGACGCCTCCCTGGGGAGGCATTTCGGGCATGTCCTGCTGGCAGGAGGACCCCGGTGTCGACCCAGGACACGTTGGAGAGGTTACATCTCCAATCTGGTCCGGGAACGCCTTGGGGTCCTGCCGGAGGAGCTGGTGGAGGTGGCCGGGGAGAGGACGGCCTGAAGCTCCCTAGTTGGGATGCTGCCCCCTCTTTGTTTCTGAGAAGAACACAGTCTTTGTGGGATCCCCTCATGTGACACTGATGTGGGGCATTCCTGATGAATTACCTTGCCGTCAGGCCTGTCCCTTCCTTAGCGCAGCGCCCATCCTCCCAGATCTTTTTATCGCGTGACACGTTGGGCAATCCCACAAAGGCTGACAAAAGCAGCTGAATCTGCTCCAAAAACATGGATAATCATAGAGCTGTATGGTGAAGGTTTTGGAGGAAGACCCCCCAGTCTAAGAATTTTGACTGATCGTTTTTGCTTTTGACAGGAGATCTTTTCATTTTCCCTCACTTCCTCAACTATGCACTCAGCTGTCACACTCATTACTGATGGAAGCTGTGATCATCTTCCAAACAGCGCCTTTTTTTGGGTTTGTGTTTGCCATTTAAATTTTAGATAAAATTTGCCTCCGTCCTTCATCTTTGCTGTGCTTGGGCCCATTCGTTGCTTGGTAACGAGCACAGCAACACTTGTATCCTCGTGAACATGCATGATACGACCAGGTGCAGTTGCGACTGGTCCTAGGTTGAGTTGGTGCACTCGGCTGTAACTCCAGTCCTTATGTCTGGCTTAGCCAAGTCAGATGTAGGAGTTAAGACTGGCATAAATTAGGACCAGCTGGTGCACTCTGCTCCAGGAGTCTACAAAATTAAACCTTTTCACAATATTCTAATATTCAGAGATACAGAATTTGGGATTTTCATTAGCTGTCAGTTATAATAATCACAATTGAAGAAATAAACATTTGAAATATATCAGTCTGTGTGTAATGAATTAATCTAATATACAAGTTTCACTTTTTGAATGGAAATACTGAAATAAATCTACATTGTCATTACATTCAAATTTTATGACCAGCACCTGTAAATGCAAAAAAATTATGTAATTTAAAAGATCCAAGACAGTGTTTTGCCCTCCTGTACTTTTCTAGTTTTTTTGTTGTTTTTTTTTTTTTTTGTGTATTTGGGGCAGCTTATTTAACACGTTCAATTTTCCTTTCATAGGATATCATGAGCAAAAAATGTACTATTGGACATCCTTTTTTACTTCTTATGGATTCATTCACTGTCCCCAAACTTTTGATCAAGGGCACAGCAGCTCTTCTAATAAAAACACAGGAGAGCTCATTAGGCCAAGTGAGTGAGGATTTTGAACGGTGCTACTGTCTATTCATCTGTCAGCTGTGTGCTTCCTTGCAGCTGCTTCTCCTCCCCAAGAAAAAGTCTGACCTCTGCAATCTGCGTGTCACAAAATCCCAGGGATGTATGCCAGGATCCTGTCTGTGGCCATCAGCTTAACGTTCAACTCCATTCTTCCAGTGGTCCTCCAGTCCAAATTATCCCAGCTTTCTGTTCCAGCCTCCACCTGAGAGTGGATCACATTTTTTGACAGACAGAAAGCAGCAGGTGAAAATAGAGAAAATAATATCCAGCATCAGCACAGGGACATAAAATAAAGCAATGTCAAAATATGAACAGACCATTGCAGATTTGGCGCTAAATAATAATTGTTTTTAGTTAAATTATAACAAATTGCTAAAGCTGGAAAAAATAAAGCAAGGTTAGTTGACCAATGATATTCAGGTAAAAAGATCCAAAGCTCTAAAGTACACAACCCAGAGAAATCTATGATTTTAGCAGGAGTAACAACCAGAACTCTACAAGCCTCCCACAACAGCTGAAAAAACACAAACATCTGCAGGACTCAGGGGGAATACAGCACACCCCTATCACCAGTATAAATCAGATTGCAAAATGGCCACCAGGCAGCCATAGAAGGCTCCTCTAAGTTTTTTGTGCTTTGTTCCCAATGAGCAGAGAGAAGTTACCAGCAGGAGAACTGACCCCTAAAGGAGAGGGGGGAAATCACACTCGAAGTGAATACGGGGCCTTTGCTCATTGCACACATGAAGTCGGTTTGCAGTGAATATCAGTACAGGAGTTAAGTGCTCGCCCCGTATTTGGAAGGTTGCAGGTTCGAGCCCTGCTCAGTCTGTTGCTGTCGTTGTGTCCTTGGGCAAGACACTTAACCCCCTTTGCCTGCTTGGTGGTGGTCCGAGGGACCGGTGGCGCCAGTGCTCGGCAGCCTCGCCTCTGTCAGTGCGCCCCAGAACAGCTGTGGCTACATCGTAGCTTATCCCCACCAGTGTGCAGGTCTACAATACACTTGTGTTGATGGTCACTCTCGGCGGTCTGGAGAAGAGGTAGCTAAATTGGTGACGTCACCTGATGCAGTGGCTCCTGAAATCTCAAAGAGTCGCAGCTCCCTGTGAATTCAGATTTCACCGGCCATAAGTTGCTACCAGGGTCTGCAGGGAAGACCTTTTAAGACTTGGGGTGACGGGTACCAGAGGGATCAAGCGCCTGCCTTGTACCCTGAGGGTTGCAGGTTTATGCCCTGCTCAGTGTGTTGCGGTTGTAAGAGCAAAGCACTTCATCCTCCTTGCTTGTTGGTGGTGGTCAGACGAACTGCAGGTATCTGTATTCAGCAAAATCGCTTCCGTCAGTGCACCTTAGGGCAGCAGTGGCGACATTGTTGCTCATCACCACCAATGTGGTTACGTTTGTGTGCATGGGTGAATGACTGGTTGTGTTGTAAAAAGCCTTGGGGGTTTGTAGAACCCAAAAAGGCTATATGTAAATACAGGTCAATAACAATTCTGCCATTTACTTTGTAGTCATTTGTGTGAAAAAAAAATACCAATTATACTTCTCCTTACGTCAACTCGAGTTTGCTTGACTTGCACACACGCATTGAAGGTGACGTTTTCCCTTTGAATGTCTCTGTTGCCTGGGGAATGTTGCAAGGTAATTCCTTGCCAGAACAACCGAGGTCTTAACACTTTTCTGGAAGTTTCTTGCCACCACTGCAGTCATGTCTTTGGTCCACAGTAGTGTATTTATATCATGTGTATTTCAGAGACGTTTAAAAGTTGCACATCGTATGCCTGGCTTTAGATGTAACTAGTTTTTTATACTGATTGAAGCCACACTCCTTAAGCGCTTTTAAAACCGCTCCAAAAAGTGGCTGTTCCTCACAGTCATGTGAACTGTCTGGTGATCTGTGCTTCAGCTCTAACAGCCAGAACCTCCTGCATCTCTGCATCTCTCTAGTTTGCCATCTAAGTTGACATGGTTTACACAAGCGAAACTGACTGGCTGTGTTTACTTTCTTTTTCAACATTGTTGCCAGCCAGGGCTTGGCAGAAATTCCACATGTTATCCTGACATCACCATCAGTTGTGCAAAGGCATGATATTCATGCATTGTGGTAATATTACTAAAGAGCATGGAGGCAAGAATGCCGCAAAAATCCTGTGTCATCATGCCGCCATGGTGCTTTCATTGTGGTGACAATAATACTCTGAATTGCCGCCATGGTATCTCTTATCAAAGAAGGTTCTCTGAGGGTAAGCTGCAAAAGCCCTAGTGTCTCCAGTCTGATGCAAACAGAAAAGTATTAATCAGGCCTAAGATGTTCTATAAAAAAAGTTGATTTTGATGCCCGTTTAGGCAGAAAAAATAGCACAGCTCTGCACCAGATGTGTAAGCGCTGTGTAACATAATAGATGCTCCTGGTGCCTCCCTTCCTACCAGGAGCATTCCAGACACAAACTAGGGATGCAACGATACCCCTTTTTTCCAAACCGATACGATACCGATACTTGGATCTGAGTACTCGCCGATACCGATACCTCTACCACACGCACACACACACACACACAAAAAGCAATAATTTGGAATACAGATTTTATTTTCTTCTCTGCTTTCAACAGGAAAAGACTGTGAGGTAGATAAAAAGTAAAATATATGAATAAAAATCATCACAAAACTAAAATATTAGGTGAACATAAATGACAAGTTACAGTGAAGCCATTTACAAGCAACTGCATTGGTGTCGGTTCCCGGTATCGATGAACTTATATCGATACCGATATCAATATCGGTATGGTATCTGCACCAATACCGATACCAGTAACAGTATCGGTGCATCCCTAACACAAACAGCGAAAGCATTCCACGTAGCTGTTCCTGAAATCACCAAAAAATTGCAAAATCACGGGTGATTTCAGCACTGCACCTGATAACGAGCAAGGATAAAGCTTATATCCACAAGGTCTGTGGTTTTATTTTCTGTAGAGTTTTCAGGTAATTATGTTTTATTTTTTTTATTTTTTTACTAGCTAAGCAACTGGAAATCTGTACATGTCTTATTTTTTAATTGCCAGACACTATACTTGTGATTGGCTTCCAGTCTGTTTCAATCTGAATTGCTGAGCTTGATGCATTTTGAAAACTAATGGCACATTCACATCTGGGGTGGCCCAGCCCGGTCTTGGTTTGGTCGGCCCAGCCCAGCGCCACCGGGTTTTGTTCACACAGCCTTTTCGGGAACACATATCTCAGAGCACATGGGCGAGGCAAAAGACACGTGGAGAAGTCTGTAATGTATTCCCTTTGTGCGTGACCTTTGTGATCACCCATTCCTTATTCTACTCTCATTTTTTGAAATATTTTTTATATTTAAATTTTTAGATTTTGTGAAGTACCTCGTGATTTTTATCCAGAGAGGCGCTATATAAACAACGGCCATGAGCAGTGTTGCTTTTGGAGACTGATGTGAAGCACATAGCTTCCTACATACTAAATGAGGACCGGTCCTGCCGTGGGCTCCTCTCGGGAACCATTTGGAAGTTTAACCCCCCAACCCAACCCCTTGATGCTGAGTGTCAAACAGGGAGGTGTTGGGTCCCATTTTTTCTAAGTCTTTGGTATGACTTGACCAGGATTTGAACCTTGATCTCCCTGTCTCATGGTGGACACTCATACCACTAGGCCACTTAGCTCCTCATGAAACTCCTTCACACTGAAGGAGCAGTAAAGCTATTATAATATATCACCTGTATACAGACGTATACAGGTGATATATTGCTGAATTTGTAATTATCTGTCCTAGGGGAAGAATGTATAATAGAAACAAGATGGATCCCAAAATGATACCCTGTGGCACTCCAAATGTAATATCAGCTGGTTCACAAAATATGCCAGTATAAATGGTATGTTACTCAATAAACTAGACTGATACTTGGTTCAGAACTTCTCCTTTATTCCGCCATGACATCATCGAACTCCCGCACAAAAAGGCCGTTCCTCCGGAAGCAACCACACACTTTCAGAACAAAAGCATATATGCCAACAGGACATTTGTTTAACATAAAAGCACTATTAACAATCTCACCTATCCTGTTAAAAGAAATTGTATTTATCACTTACACCTATAAAGATGTGCTCTTTCAAAAACAAAAACAACTGATTGTGATATGTGCAACCGGATAGGTTTAATACATTTATTTATTTTTTATTCAACAGTCCATTGTCCCTCACTCAGCGTTTTCAGTAGCTGAAAGCAGGATGCCCCCTTTTTTGTGAGATAGTCTGCAAGTTGAGCTTTGGCACTGTGCCACAACACTTGCTCAACCTTTTGTGTTTGAATGAGCTTCTTTATGTTTATGTTTATTTATTTGGCAGACGCTTTTATCCAAAGCGACTTACAATTTATAACCTATAGGGCATGTTGTGATCTGTAGGGGAAACCAGAGTACCCGGAGGAAAACCACGCATGCATGGGAAGAACACGCAACTCCACGCAGAAAGGCCGCAGCCGAGTTTCGAACCTGCAACCTTTGTGCTGCGAGGCAACAGTGATAACAACTGCGCCACCATGCAGCTCATTTCAAGGCAAAGTCTTTTTTCAGAGACAGACTTTGTTGACTTGAGTGCATCGTCAAGAGAATGGTTGTCTGTAATACAGATTATGGGGACAGCATGTTTTAAGTCTCCAGTTGTCAACTCTGAAAACAATGTAGACGGGAAAAGTGCATTATCAATTCCATCAGACATTGCCAATGTTTCGCCCGCTAGTGTGCTCCGTACAACTCTCTTATCTCTTTGTGACTGCCGGGAGAGTGGTGAAAACTTTCCATCCTTCCCCATGAGGACAATTAGATGTCCTCCTTGTGTTCCTCCGTCGGGAAGATTACCAAAAGAAGCGTCACTGAAGACAGCAATCTTAAGATCACTGTCTCTGCCCAGCTGTCCAAAGTTCAAAGTTACACTCTTTGTCTTCAGTTTGCACACTGTTAGTTTCATGAATTGTGTTCACAGTTGCATCCTTCATGCTTGACGCCAACATGCTTACAGGTGCTGGCCAGTAAATTAGAATATCATCAAAAGGTTGAAAATATTTCAGTAATTCCATTCAAAACGTGAAACTTGTACATTATATTCATGCAATGCACACAGACCAATGTATTTCCAATGTTTATTACGTTTAATTTTGATATTTATAGGTGACAACCAATGAAA